AAGCCGAACTGAAAGATAATTATTACGATATAAAATAGCGATATCGCTAAACTGAATTCCTCCCCGCGACAGTAAATATTGAACTCGATGCACTACAAAGCGAGCCGAAATTTGGGACCAACGAAATACTTTTATCCCGCTCGGATGCACGGAAGTTAACAAATTATTAACTAAATTGGGATGATTTCTACGAACAAAAGAGTTAGCCAACTGGAGTATATTGCTTGTCGAGCGATAGTTAATGCTAAGGTAAATAGTTTTTCAATCCTTATCCTTAGTTAGGGAAAAAATTAGTTGGGGGGTTGCTCCCTGAAAGCCATAAATGGCCTGGTTCGGGTCCCCGACTAAAAAAATTTTTTGCGGTGGGCTTAAAATCAATTTCACCACTTCTCACTGTGTAGCGTTAATGTCTTGGAATTCATCGAGCAAAATGTGAGTAAATTGTCGCTGGTATTCTTCCCGCACTGAGGGGTGTTGGCGGAAAAGTCGGATAGTGTAAATAAGTAGGTCGTTGAAGTCCAAAGCCTTGTTGGCTTGTAAGTATTCTTGGTATTCTTGGTATATCTCATATCTCTTTTGGGTTATTTCGTCAAATTGGTGGGGGTCAGCGGCCAATTTGCCATTTTTTCAGTTACCAATACAAGAAATAATGGTGTTTATTTCTTTTTGCTCGTGGTTATAATTAATTTGCCGGACAATTTTTCGCACTACTTCTTCTTGTTCGTGGCGGGCGTAGACGGGAAATTTGCTGGCAGGGAAACCTAACAAATAGGAATGTTGGCTTAAAACATGGAAACAAAAAGAATGAAAATTATAAATGTGTAAGTCCTTTTTGGCAACGGAAGCCACTTGGTCAAAAATCCTTTTTTTGATTTCCTTAATGGCTTTTTTGGCAAAAGTCAGAATGAGAATATTTTGTGGCTGGGCTTGCTGACTGGCGAGTAAATAAATGGCTTTACTGACCAGCGTTTTCGTTTTGCCGCAGCCGGGACCAGCAATCACACAAACGCGGGGGTGTAGTTCTAATACGGCTTGCTTTTGCTGGGGGTTTAAGTCTCGTAAATAATCCATTTTATTTTTTTACTTACTAAATTAGCGGAGAGAAATAAAAACTACAAATAAATTTTTCAATTTACTAATCATCAAAATATTAATATAACGAAAAAAAGTGAAGAAAGGGGAAAAATTCATAAATTTATCCTTTGAGGAAGAGAGAAATTTACTAATAATGGCCCGAGAAAAAGTGCGGGTGGTTGCAAGTGGGGACAGTAATTATTCGGTTGGAGAAATTGTTGACCGCCAACAAGCCGAGGTAACTAGTGAATCTCTCGTGGAAGCCGGCGAAACTCCTCCCGAATTGCATAAAGTGTCGCAGGATAAACGCACACGAGCGGAGGCTACTCATGAGCTAATTTCTCGTGTGAAATATTTAGCCGAACACTTTGCTCGTGTTTATTCTTCCAATAAGACGGGGATTAATTATAAAGTTTTAGAAGCGGTAGGCGTCATTTCGTTAGCCAAGGCTATTGAAATGTTTGACTTAAACAGTCCGCACCGCTTCGCTACTTATGCCGGCTACTGAATTCATCAACGAATCCAAGCCTTTTTTGCTAAAAGTCAACTAATCAACCAGAGCCCTCTTGCCACTAAAAAAAAAAACGTTGTCTACTACGACGATTATCGCCAACAAGACGAGGATAACAAATCTTACGCTTTGATTGACCGCCTGACTGACAACAATAATTTCGAATTAACTAGCCAAGAAGTTCGTAGTTGAGATACTAAAAATCAAATCAATAATTTAATTAATT